AGCATCGGACTCCCCTGATGGGTCTGCCAGTGCGGGACTTAGCCGCACTTCATGGACTGTATCATCGCCTCGAAGGTAATGAGGCCTATTGCGGACTCAACCTTATTATAAGGGTCTGGTGTGTGCGAGTCGAGACCAAAGAACTTCCGGTTTCCGGCGCCCTGGACGCCGCCGCGGCTTGCGGGGACTCGGAGACCCTAGCGGGTCTTTATTGCGTCCAACTTCGGCGCATGAAAGGACACGCCCGTATGCTGGAACGGACACCATTCCCAGTTGACAACATTTCTCCAATCCATTTCCAGTGCATGTTCGCTGGCTACTGCTCGTTGTCGCTGGCCTGGGATCGCCTTCAGGACAAAGCAGTACCATTTCCTTTTGTAACAGGAACATGCGCGTCCGACCGTGAACACACCACACAGTGTATCCCGTGTTACCAAACACAATGGAAGGAGGCAATTCATGTGGCAGAAGGACAGTGCCCAGATGTCACTAAAATGCTCGACCGCGTGTCTTCGGTTATCCAGCACTTGCGGAATTGCAGGGGACTCGAGAATGGTAAAAAGTGGGAGTGTTTTCATGATTTCACCAGGTTCACCGGCGGCCTCAGCACGGCGTTGCAGGACTTGAATTTGACTGCCCACTGTTTTTTCCCGGAAATGAAACACAGTCTTCCAGTCAAGAAAAGGGTAACCTTATGAACCGATGTATACTACTCCCTATGCCTCAGATACAATGATGATTTGTCCGGACGTATAGGAATCCAAACAGCCTGCGAATAACTTCGCACACGACATGGAGACAAGCCCGGCTCCGTTGGGATGGTCTTAAATCGAAATTTGGCTCTGATGGTTCTGAATAGGGCGTCCATTTGCTAACAGAATGCCTCGCGCCCGGTGTGGCAGTGCACTTGGCACTCCCCATTCGGATCGTAGCGGTTGTTTTGTCTTCAATCAGTAGCCAAACACATCCATTCTCGGTTCCTACCACTCCGCGAACGTTCTCGACCTCGTCCACCTGGCCTCCACGAGGTCCCACCGCGCCGACACCGAGCCGCCGTCATTCCGACCTGAGGCTACGCCTCCACCGAGAGTCCTTAAATGAAATGCAGGCAAGGGCGCAATGTGACGGTTTAAGAGCACAAAATATTGTTCTGGATGCAGAAAAGGAATGGTGAAACGCGCGCAAGTGTGCCCAGGTATTGAGGTAAATAAACGTGAATATGTTACACCACCACAAGCATCACCGTTGAATATGAGTACATTTTATTCATAAGGCCGCAAAGAAGCTCAGCCTCAGATAGATGCCTCGGGTTTGAGATTCCAGTGTTGAACAGGGGATCCGGCTAAAAAGAATTGGTGCACCTGATGAAACTCAAGCAGCGGATCTTAAGTTCTGGCAGTCCAGACCACCAAGAACTTGTAAGTTCTGGAAGAACTTAAGTTCTTCCCAGTAGCCTATATATGTGTACTGTATGCAATGCAATGAAATGGGCCCTTGTCTTAAACTTAAGTCCACTAACAACTTAATCCGACAGCAACTTAAGTTCCCCACCACTCAAATCCCTGTCGCACTTAAGTTCCTGCGGCACTTAAGTTCCAGCCAAACTTAAGTACCTAGGGTCGACTTCGCGGAGACGGCGACGCCCCGACCTTCTGCATCGCACCGGCAGCGCCCCCGCCCGCCGCGGAGACCTGGGACCGTGCGCTTGGCACCACACTCGGGCGCCTCTTTCTCGCGCTCTGCCCCGCCGCCAGCGCGCTCGCAGGCCTCCTCGACACGCCGTCCGGGGCGGGCGCCTGCCATTTGGGTGGCAAAACCTAGCGCCTGCGGGCACAGCTTATAGACGCGCGGTTGGTGAAGGAAATTGACTTACGCACACGGGGAACACGTCGAAAAGGAAGAGGAGGAGGTAGAAGATCAGGCGCTGCGTTGCCACCTCTCCCGGCTTCTTGTCAGACTCGGAGTACACGACTCGGAGTGGCAACCTCGATACGGACGAACTTGAATAGAGCATGAGCCACAAACCCCGAGGGAGGACGCCGCCTCGCCAGGTGCCCGTCTAGTCTGGTGACTCTGGTCGCGCCGTCGAAGTTCGTTGGAGATGGGTCGGAGAGGCGAGGAAGTTGGGAGGAAGTGAGTGAGTGGCACTGACTGAAGTCGACAAGTCAAGCGGCACGTGAGTGACGTCCTGACAAATATTTGGCGATGTCAATTTGGGTGGCACGTCTCTTTCTCTTCTCCTCCACAACCTTCTGGCCGCGTTCTGGGAGAAGATCGGCACAAGCGCAGTGCTCGTCCTGCTCGGCAGTGCCATTGACGGGTGTGTCTCGCCATCTCTCCGGTGAGAGGAATGCTGACGACTCGGCCCGAGACTGTGCGCAGCGCCCTTCATCGGCGTGAGACCCCATGGTACGTCTCTCGCTGTCCCCGCGCCACCGTGTCGCTCACCCGCGTGCACACCTAGATCCTCAGCGGTCCCCCATCTTCCTCAACAGCAGCGTACGTGCTGTCCTCCTCTCCAAGTCGGGATCGCAGGCTGACGGCGGCTTAGCAGCAGTGGCACTCTCGATGCGGCGCTCGGCACGAGCGAGGGCCACACGTGGAAGAAGGCCGAGCCGAAGGTATGTTGGTTCTCCACTTCTATTTAATACATGGAGCTGGAGCCCGTGTAGAGCTCAAATTGTGCGCAAATATGAAGACGGACAAGAACTTAAGTACTCCTCAGTCAGTAACTTAAGTAGTTGACTATACTTGTTTTTGGGAGGGGGTGATTGACGAGAACTTTAGTTGTGGACAGACTTAAGTACTGGCGAGAACTTAAGTTCTGGTGTCAACTTAAATTCGGGACCCGTATCATATTGGCTGTAGGTATGCTAAATTGGGCAGTAGGCTACTGGGGAAAACTTAAGTTCAGGCAGAACTTATAAGTTCTTGGCGGTCTGGACCGCCAGAACTTAAGATGACCTAATAAAGTATTTGGCACCTGTTGGGGAGCGGTGCTTGGAAGGAGCACGCAGGAAACACGTAGGATTCAGCTTGAATCCAAGCATTAGCAAATCATAGAAAAGGGTTCATCTGTCCGTCTATAGTGATAATGTTACAACAATTCTGAATCCAATATTTCCCTCGTAAGTGCTGCGTTGTGGACTGAATTTAATTTCCAGTTCACAAAATCCACAACGAAACAGGGCAGGGCTTACCCGACGAATGCACTATTGATGGACACCATCCCCAATGTACGACATTGATTCCCCATCTTTGCTCATGAGCCGAGTGTATTCCAAAATCAAGTTAGAGAACTTGTTAGCCTCGCGCAACGTGGAGAATTCTGAGTCCTAACACACCGGTAAAATTATGCAACCATATCTTCCATCCTCCAGAATTTCTTGCTCCAATCTTGACCAGCAATCGCAAGCTTGCAAGCGAGTTCGTCGTGTGCTCCCGCTCCACTCAGATCACTCCGGAAGAATACTAGAGCGTAATGGAGGTCCGATAGATCGAGCTATAACAAAGATTATTAGAGATTGGATTTGACTGGGTGTCAGCTCACTCGCTTGGACAGGAATATAGTGGACCCAAGGCGCAATTCTATCGCTGAATCTAGCGCCAAGGTTAGTCAGAGATATAAGTGAAGGCAGGGAAGTCAAACCATTCAGGATAAATCGACGCCTTAAATACCAGAGAATTGGATGTCACCAGGTGCTTGAATTGGGCAGACCCAACCACCCATTGCCGTCGGCCTACAAAGGAACATCAACAATCTGGGTCACTTACACGGCAAAAGGAAGAACTAACGTCGAAGACAATTATACGGACCCGCCTCTTTCGCGCTTTGGTATCTTCGCCAAGGGAATGTCCTCTGCACTGATACTTACCGGTATCTGGATAAGTCATGATCGGATCGCCTATGAACACAACACCCATGACGCCTGGGTTCAGCCTGGACTTCCTTACTTCGACAGGCTCTCCCACCGGGTCTATTTTCGATTCCACCGGCAGCAAAATCGAAACTGTGCCCCTCAGATCATTGGCAAATGGTACGAACCTGATTCGGTGCGCTATCTTCTTTCACCACACACCAATCATAGCAGCATTCGTGCCTTGCTGACTGATTCCAGTAGTGCTCCCGCGCCACAAGAGGCGCTCGTCGATTCTATCGTCTTATTCTGAGTCGTCCGACCGCGGAAGGATGTCATCAACCCAGAGATACGTAGAAAGGCATGTGGATATTGTGGTGGATGGGCGATGAGGAATACGAGAACTCCGGAACCATTTCTTGCTCGGGTGTGGGGCCTGCCCGTTTGTTCCATATGAATAGCCCATGTTGCCAAAAGCGTGGGGGTGGAGGCAGGGATCCATGGCGAGTTTGTGATCATAGATGAATGTCTTCTTGGTCAGCTTCTGGGGTGGGTCGCCCTCGAGATTCATGAATTTACAAATCTATTGCCTCCCAATGAGTCCAGAGCACAGGCTGAAGTCCAACTGGTTCGGTTTGATCTGGGAAGGTCCTTTCGACTGATGTCTGTTCGCAAGTTAGTGTGTCTCACGGAGTGATAAAAGACAAAGATCTTACATCTTTTCTCAGCTGCGGCCTGGCGAGCAGCATTTTGCACAGAGTAATCGGAGAGCTTCCGGGGGCGTCAATGATCTATTTCAGTGACAACGAGAGATACACGTACTCTTCTTGGGGGGTCATGCGGGGAGAAAACTGCTCGGAACGGCGGAAGGAGATCTTCCACTGGGCGCAGGAGGCGTATTATACCTACGGAGCCTTGTATATGGTGGGTGTATAATGCGGGCGTGAGCGACGTATTCACAACGATATTGTTGTTGGCAGTTTTGACGATGCCGTGTACAAGTTCTTCGAGCTCCGATCTGATGGCGTGTAGATCCTTCGGTTCTATCCGGGCCCCCAAGAAGGGCTGCAGGTAGTAAAACAAATTGTACAATGAACCGCGAACGAATCCTACAAAACAAAATTTGCATCTCGCCAGTGCCTACGACCTAACCCCGGATCGAACGAGGAACTCCTGCCAAGTTGCAACTTATTTGTTATAAAGAGCAGGCACTTCACCAACTCCACCACCAGGTCTTCCTCACCTGAGCCCACTCTCCTATTTATCAGAGTCTTCAAGCTAGGAGGGAAACAAAATAACTCAAAATGCTCGTAGCCATGTCCTGACCTGGACCCAAATCAAACAGGGGTCTCCTGCTGAAGAATTTCACTTTGTTGATTGGGAAAAGGTACTATGGTACCAACTCCACCACCAGGTCTTTCCCCTCACCTAACCAACCTAAATAAATACCCCTCAATTCTTTCAAGTTCTTGCCAATTCAAGTTACCTACAGTGAAATGCAGAATCAAACTCAAACCCAGATCGGACCGGAACCATGGCCACCCACAAGTTCAGGTCCAAAATTGAATTGATTGAACGCCACCTCTGTTTCCTCGTGCACACCAAAGAAGAAAAAAGTTTCAGGTCAATGAAAATGACCTGGCCCCGAATCGAACGGGGACTCCCACTTAAATGAATGCTTTGCTCATACATACAGCAGGCGTGGTACCAACTCCACCGCCAGGTTACTGTTTACTTACCCCAACCTCTCTATTTATCAGCATTCTTCGAGCCTAGAAGACAAAATAACTCAAAAAAATGGAGGAGGACCAATGACCTGGCCCCGAATCGAATAGGGATCTCTTACTTATATCTTCTGCTCTACATGAATGTCCAGTAAGTGTAGTTCCAACTCCACCACCAGGTCCGCGTGGATTTGGTCATATTCATCGGGAAGTTGAACATCATGTTCGCGAACATAGTTCCACCTTCGAATATGAATGAGGGCGGCCCGGGAAGAGTATCTAGGCGTACCAGTCGTCAAAGCTTTTCGGTGGATCCCGGTCATACCGCCGTCTGTACTCTGCAACAGCCTGAGGAAAACTGGTGCTAGCGCGCTCGAGCTTGGCTGTCCACGCCGCCTCTGCTCACCGTATGAGCTTAAAGATGGGATGATTTCCTTCCGGATTGAGCTCCAGTAAGGCGTCATCCCTGAATGTGTGCTCCGCTAATTCGACTGCTTTCGGATGCGCTTGAGGTGGTCCCTCAAAATCGTCGACGGCGAGGTGGACAGTTTTCAAGTATCCTGCGACGGGAAATAGAACCGTGATTGACAAGACCACTACATAGGAGCGCTTCCCTGCGGCGGGTCTTCATGTGGGAGTAGAGCAAGAGCAGTCGCGACTTCGGCTTTACGGACCGACTGCGAGTCACGTGAATACCTTCGCCTCGAATGGCTCGCTCACCCAATTTTTTTAGGAGCCAGAGGTCTAACAGGAGCTCTGCACATTTAGACTTCATTTACAACTAATCGTGAGGCCCATGGGATTATATAAACACCCAACTAAGTGTGCATACTAAGTGTGCATACTAAGTGTACATACTACAATTAGAGTTGGAAATAACGATTCGGATACATCTGTGGCTAGACAATACATGAGTATCTGTACAACATGCAATGATACATCTTCGTCCTTGCCAATACAACATCAACCTCGGACCCGCTCATGGGGTTGCTGGAACGGCACTGATAAAATCTTGAATATCTCTTCCTCCGTTTCGGACGCCACGAGATTCCCTGTTGACCTCTGAACAACAGCCCAGTAAACCCGAGGTGTCAAAAAATCTGACCTGTGTTCAGCTTTATGGTACGATTCCTTGGGTCGCGCACAACCCCGGCGAACAGGCCCTTCTGATTCAACGAATACCCCAGCTTGTTCGCCTTGAGCCGCATCGCGCGGTTGAACTGCATGTTCATCAGTATATGTTGCAGAGACAAAAATGACTGCGGCGCACAATATCATCCCCAGTGTAATAGAGTAGGGCTGCGCCGCGCGACCTATTCAACGAGATTGTCAACAACGAATAAAGCCATGAAACAGGAGCGCGAAATACGTGTAGGGAATCGTCAGGAAATCGATCCTGCGGCGCCGGGACCCAAATTTCGGGAGGTGGCACAGGCCGCGATAAATGGCCTCCTCGTCGAAGGGATTTTCAGGAAGCGCAAGATCCTCCGTGATGATCTTGCGCTCATGCAGCTCCTTCAAGAGGTAATGGAGGATGCCGGCATGCGTCTTTCCATCGTCCGGGCGTCGGGTGATCATTATGTCGATGTCACCGCAATCGGCCTTGCCACTGACAAAAAAAAGGTGTCAGCAGAATTCCTGAGCAGAGGATTGGAAAGCGAACCGTCTGTAGCTGCCCATTATTTGAATTTCGAGTTTGGGATCGATGGAGAGCGCTGGGTGACCAGGTCTTTGGATGAAAACTGCGGTAAAGACGAAAAGAAACATACCAATGGGTTTGATGAGTTCGAACAACGCTTTAGCTTCTTCCCTGGGCATACGATCATTGATGTCTGGCGCACGAGGTCATTCGGTGCTCTATGGCGCCTCCAGTGAACACACCGTCGTAAAATTGGATACCAATCTTCTGCGCGTCCGTCAAAGTAACGCCGCCCTTACCAGCCCTGAGGTCATCGAGTGACCGACACCCGGCTGCATACCACATGAAAGCAGTCGCTTGCCCTGTAACAACAGTCGTCAACTGACAGCCCCGACTCCGAGATGCTGGGAACACATGCCGACTCCGTATATACCCTGGAATATTTTCCGGACTTGCACGTCCACGGTGTTTTCATACCCGATGCGGCGCAAATCGCCTGTTTCAATAATCTCCATGATCTAGGTCCCGATGTGCAAGTGTCGCGGAAATAAAAAAAATGGCGTGATGAATCACCTTCAGCGCTGTCTTATTGCCAATGCCACGGATCCGGCGAGCCTCGCTGATCGACGTGATCCGCTTATGGTAATTTCTGAGTGCTCGCAAGGCTGAAGAGAACGTAAGTACGCAAATCGACGGAACGACATGACACTCACCCTTGCTATAAGTGAAGGCACGCCACCGGTCTTCTGCCCCAGGCTTGGCCTTGTGAAGTTCCATAAGTGCTTCCAACTACAAATGCGCGATGAGTTCGACGGTGAGCAGAGCGAATTGTGTATTACACGAGCCTTTTTGCAAATGAACTCGTTGGGACCGTTCTTCCGCTGAAGGTGAATCTCCTTATTATCGCAAGTGAACCCCTTCAACCGACAGTTAAATGATGACGATACAGAAACGGCATAGACATACTCTCTTTGGTGCAGGACCAGGATTATGAGAGCCTTCATTGTCAGTGTCCGATGCTGCATCAACGTCGGTTTCGTCTTCATCGTCTTCGCCGTCACCTTCGCCGGGACGAGTCCACTAGATAGGTTAGTCGGATTTAGGGCACACTGAATCAATAGTTGGAACGCACGGCATCTTCTCGCTCGGCCCTAGCCCGGGCGTAAAACTCCGCCAAGGGGTCATTTTGATTCCTCTCCAACTTTACGCGTGAGGAAGAGGGCTCGCCGACGCCTACCTTGTGACGCGGAGGCGACGAGGGAGCCATGGGCGCATAACCCGGATCGGCCGGGTTCTGGTCAGATTCATCGTCTTCAGAGTCGTGAATTGTGCGTTTGGGTTGCTTCTTGTCCTGAGTGAAATCACTATGCCGAGAGGAAGTTGGTCAATTCGATGCGGAGAGACGCGCGCTACGCACGAGATGCGACTCAGGTTAGCACTGGCGTTCGGCAACACCCGTTGTTTACCCTTGCCTTTTCCTCGGCCGGCGGGATATTCGACGTCGGGTATGCGATTACTGAACGCCGCATGTTCGAACAGGGGCCCCGGGTCTGAACCGTCCATCCCAGCCACCACCCACGACCATTTGAGAACAGGGATATGATCGGGAATGTCCTTGATGCTCTTTAGTCCAAGAGCACGAAGCGTAGGGCCTTCCGAGGCGTCCGAAATTATATGGGTAACAAGCGCGCCGTCGAAGACGGGGAACAAGCTGCCACCGTGGTTCACGATCTACGAAAAATAATTAGTTGAATGGAACGACTGGATCAAGGAATCGAGACTCACAAGGTCCATTCGCCCCCTTGCGCGCTCCGAAGCCCAAGTCATATCACCCCCCGTATAAAATAAATTCTTGCCTTTGAGGAATTGATCGTACTGTCTGGAGGGCTTTTCTGCAGGGTCTGGAGGCGCTGAGAGTTTATCGTTGAGCATTTGGGCGTAGTCCTTCGGATACATCTTTATTTTTTCTTTCTTCTTCCCCTTCTTCGCCGCCGGCGGGGGTTTTGGACGCTCTGTAGGCTTGGGCTTGGGTTTGATGGTCGCCTTGATGGGCCGGATGGCGTTCGGCTCAGGAGATGGCGGTCCAGGCGAAGACGACACCGAGATGATAGAGGACTCATCCCCGGAAACACGGCCGCTGGGACGAGACTTGCTCGGTCCGACGGCAACGTTGGTGGCAAGTTTCGAACCTTTGTGAATCTTTTTCTCACGTTTCATAGCCGAATGCTTCTCCACTCGCTGCTTCATCTCGAGGAAACTGGGGTTCGCAGTGACCTTCGCAGGGAGTCCGACCTTCGGTTGAGTCGACGTCGCCTCTGGCTCAAAGCGGGAAACCAAGACGGAGAATTCGGCGTCCTCGATCGGGGAAATGGAGAGATCGATTGTTTCGGGAACCGGGGCTGGTGGGATCTTCACAGCCAGTCGAGGAAGTTTACCTTTATTGGACGACTTGGGCTTAACTGACGGCGGCTTCTTTACGGGTGCACTGCAGCACGGACAAGTCAACGTATGGCCGCCACAACTAGTGCACGGACGTACGGAGAGACTTCGATAGGCGACGATGGGTGAATACTTGCATCGATTGCAGCTCTCTTCCGAGCGGGTTTCTCTGGCTTGGTGGGAGACTCCTTACGTTTTAAAATAGCTTTTGAATTGTGATTGGGAGATATCGTGGGGATGGAAGGTTGCGGGATGGTACGTGTTGGGCTCGAGGTATGTCTGCGGGCAGATTGTCGGACGGGGATCGGAGAAATGGGTTGCCTAGAAGAGTTGAGCACGAAATATTGGTGGTGTGAAACGACCAACATCTGTGGTTCTTCGTCGACGTATTCCCTGTGGCTGATCTGGACACTCAGGGGTAAAGGGAACCCTG